TGAGCCAGAAACCTCAAAGTCAAGCGAGTAAGAGAGGGAGGGAGGGAGGGAGGGAGGAAGAGTGTACGTGTTGGCGAGTGAAGAGTGAGTTGTAAAGAAAAGTATCTATTTCAGTCCAGCATACTTTTTTTATTTTTTTTACAGCTTAAGAGTCAATTATTTCCACACATGCTTGTCTGGTTTGCATGAGAGAAAAAGTGAAAAAAGAAGGGAAAAAAAGGAGAGAAGGTTCCTCTTTTGTACTGTAGTTTCCATTCGGCGTTCCAGATTTGTCTTACGCCAGCTCCGCAAAGACCTGCAGAGCGACACACGAAGCGGTTTTGGATTATTTTTTAATACTTTAAAATGTTTATATTTTTGTATTGATTTTCTGTGTTTTAGAATGGTTTCACTCCCCTGCACATTGCTTGCAAGAAAAACAGAGTCAAGGTGATGGAGCTACTTCTGAAGCATGGAGCGTCTATACAGGCAGTCACTGAGGTAGGTGTGTGTGTGTGTGTGTGTGTGTGTGTGTTTGTCTTTTTCTGTAATCAGTTTTACAGCAAAAAAAAAGCTGCAGTTGAAATGTCTTCTACTTGCACTCTGTGAACTTCTGGGAGCATCACTGGAGAGAGTAGGCAGGTAGACATGATAATGCAAAAAACTAAAAACTAAGCTAATGCATTTTCTGCCTCTTTGTACTTCAGTTCCTGCACATTTCAGAGTAAAATACTCGTTTTACTCCACTGACAGCTGTAGTTAATTTGAAGATTAAAATTTGAAATACTGCACACGCTGCAAAAATCTTCATCTAAGTATCTGAGTCATGTTTGTCTGTTACTGAATAAAACTCATATTTTCTTAACCCTATCAGTCCCAGTCGGGCTTGTACACACACCGATTGAACAATTTAGCTGTCAATCAACATATCAATATTCCTGGTTCTTATGGACACAATCCACTATCACACTCAGCTATAACCCTTCTTTGTGTGCTGATCCAAGCAACATTTGATCAGTTTTTGTTTTGTTCTGTTCACCCTTATAGGAGGCTGTTATTTATTGGCTTTATATGCCTTTAATGAATTATACAGTCTAGTAGCTGTCAGAAAAGTTTGTAATTTATTAGTTATGGGGTTATTGTAAGATTATAGTAGCTGTCAGTTTCACCAAAAACCTCACAGATGTTACTGGTTAGTTGTGTTACTGTTCTGTGATGGGCTATCATATCTGACACCTTCACAGTTCAAATAAAATGCATTTTGTAAAACTTTTTTCAAGGCTGTCCCACATTTTACACACATATCATCCATTATAAATCTCCATTTACTTCAAATACATCTTCAAGGAATCCTGGTTGTTCCAGAAAGAAAATATTTGGAGCTAATAAAAGCCTTTGAGACATAACTGGAAGAAGGAAGAAAGTTTTTGGCATTAAAAGGTTAAAACAATTTGCCACTGCGGAGAGATGATTTCAGCCTCTTTAAATAGAAGTCACCTGGTCTCATGACTTTTCTTGATTCGACAGCAATCCCTTATTCTGCCTTCTTTTAAGATTCTCACAGTTGTTTCTAAAATGTTCTTGAAACAAGCTGATTTCTGTCGGAAACAAGTTGAAACCTAACTAAACTTAAGAAAAGGAGGCTTTCAGGACTCAATAACTTAATATTGTGCAGCACTAAACATAATGTCATCATGTAAAGTAAAATCAGATGCACATACTGTGACATACTGCAGACATGTTGATGCTTTATGTACATTTTACTTATTAAACTTCAGTACTTTTTCTTAAGTAACATTTTGAATGCAGGACTTGTAATTGAGTATTTCACTCATGCATTCGTCCCCTCCTCTGTGTGTCTCTTCACTCTACAGTCTGGTCTGACTCCGATCCATGTTGCAGCATTTATGGGACATGACAACATCGTCCACCAGCTAATCAACCACGGGGCTTCGCCAAACACAAGCAATGTGGTGAGTTCTACGTTTTTGTACTTTTTACTAAATTACATTTAACAGTTGTACGTACTAGTTGCTTTGTCTACACATAAAACCAGTGGTTCCCAACTGTTTTGGGCCCTTAGAAAAATGCCTCAATTCCTTTAATTTAAATAAAATATATAATGTATATAGAGTAGTTAAACTAGTTCCACCTCGACCAGCTACAACAGTAAAATTCTGCTTAGACACTGATGAATCAATGTTAACAATGTAATAATGTCCGATATAATACTATATTAGTGACAAACAAGTACTTTTACTTTTGATACATTTTGCTGATGATACTCTTGTATTTTTACTTCCAACTTTTAACTGTTTATGAAACAGTCTCAATTTTAAACTGATCACTGATTACCATCCTCGGTAAATGTACATGGCTTGTTAAAAGTGAAATAATATTGTGAATATAAATAGTAAAAAGAACTGCTTTTGAGTTCACCATATCAACTTTAAAAGGTGACGATATGTCAAATGTTGTGTTCACAACTTGTTTCTGCCACCCCCTAGTAGCTAAAAAACATCAGTATTTTTACTTGGTTGTAGTGTACTGATAACGTCTAAAATCTGCTGTCACTGGAGCAGACAGTGGAGAAAACCTCTGTAGTTCAGGAAGCAAAGAGAGAAAGTCTATTAATGCCATGTGTATGTGAGGAAAGGTCCTCACACTCTCCTCTTGTCCATCAACACTCGCCTTATAGGAGCTACAAACCCTTTACTACTGACCTTGTTAACTCTTACACACGTTAAAGAAGAATAAAGAGAAAGGGAGAGATAGATAGGAGGAAGAGTTGAAAGAGAAGAGCGGAGTAATGAGCAAACAGAGAGGGGGAAGAGAGGGGAAAGAGTGCTGCACATTCAACTCTTCAACCCCAAGTATTTGGTCGCCCACGCCGTGTCTGTGGCCAGGTTACCGTAGAAACGGAGCATTATGGGACGTCATTATGGTGAGTTGGGTGTGGAAAGCAAGGGGGTCTCTCTCTCTTTCTCTCTCTCTCTCTCTCTCTCTCTCTCTCTTTCCTCCTCCCTTTTTCTCTCTGCACATCTCAACAGAGAGGGAGTTTTGTGTGTGTTTTCATGAGGGCAGAGAAGAATTATAACTTTGGATTAACTATAAATCCCTCTTTCTCGTCTGTGTGTGTGTGTGTGTGTGTGTGTGTGTGTTTCAGAGAGGGGAGACAGCTCTCCACATGGCAGCGAGGGCAGGACAGTCAAATGTGGTCCGATATCTGATCCAGAACGGAGCCCGAGTCGATGCCACGGCCAAGGTAGACCACATGTGACATTTGAATTCAGACAAAAAATCGAAATCCATCGAAATAGAAAACACATTGAACCCATTCAGCCATTGTGTGTGTGTGTGTGTGTGTTTATGCATGTTTGTTTGAGGCACAGTAATGAGTGTGTGGTTGTGTCTCTGCACATGTCTAATTACTGAGTGACTACAGTACAGAACTATTCCTCTTGTTCTCATTGTAAGAAGAAAACTTTTTTGTAGGGAAACAACATAACGGTTGCAATCAGTTATTTGTTTGTGCATGTATACAAATATTTGTATTCACTTCAATGCATTGTAAATTTTTCTTTTTTTAGCAAGAATAAAGCAACGTCTGACTCATTATATCAGTTTGAATGTTGTAAACTGATGGTTTCTGGGATATAAATCTTTTTCATAACACATCAAAACTACAGAAATTGCACCGACTTTTAGTGCAAAGCTTAACAAACACAAACAAATCAGCTCTGTGTTGTCTCTGGATTAATGAAACATTTTTGTTTGTCGTCACCAGGACGACCAGACTCCGCTGCACATCTCAAGCCGTCTTGGTAAGCAAGACATTGTCCACCAGCTGCTGGGAAACGGAGCATGCCCAGATGCCACCACCAGCTCCGGATACACACCTTTACACCTGGCCGCCAGAGAGGGACACAAAGATGTGGCCGCAGCACTGCTGGACCAGGGAGCGAGTCTGGACATTATTACCAAGGTAAACATCACACACACACAAAGAGTATCTGATGTGACACAAATACTTCTCGGACATTGGTTGTGATAGCTGATAGGGAGAAATATTCTTTACGATACAAAATGGCAGCAAGAATTAGAACTACTTAATAACAGGAATTATTCAGCCTTACTGCTCATCTACATTTATTAGTAGCAGGCTGTTTCTTATGGCAGTAGGATCCAAAAAGCATCAGGACAGTGCTGCTTGGATCCGTAGTGAGTGCTGAGTGTTCTCGACTAAGTTGCACCAGCTAAGTGTAAGTTCTGTCCTAAGTTAGGGTGTAAAGTGGACACTAGAGGCTCAGTTAGGTTGTAACTAAATCAGCTACTAAAATTGGTTGCCACCAGGATTACTTGGGCCATTACCTATTTAGTTTTGGCATAAAGTCATAACTAAGGCAAGTAGCCAATGAGTGATGGTCATGGTGTTGGCTTTCTGGGTGGTATGAGCCACTTGGCATCATAGCACATCGTAGTAAGCTAGATTGTTATTAAATTGATTAAATATATTAATGTGTCGCAAAATAATGGTGTGAAAAAATTATACTGTGGCAGAAAAAATATATTTTTGTGACATTTTATGATTTACACTACCTTAGTGGCATGTGTAACTATGTGTAACTGTTACTTAGAGTTAAGTTGTAACTCATCTCCGCAGTGCATAAATCACAACTTAGTAATAATTTAAGTTATAACTAGGCTAAGTTTGAACGTACACACAGCTGGTGCAACAGGCTGCAGGTGTCCACATGACCAGGTAGTTGACAGTTTTAGATCCGCTACATGAGACAGATTTTGCATACTTGATGTGTTACTGCTACACTGTTTCCCAACCTTAAGGGACACTTGGACTGAGGAACACGGGTTACAGTTGACTGTGTGCCAGTTGGAGAGTTGGGTCAGAGTAACTCCTCCAGAGTCTGAAAACAATGTTCCTGGAGAGGCTTTCTTTATGCAATACCTATTTCATAACCTCCATTTCATCTGCGTAGGTAGTTTCAACACTGAGGAAAGTCCCTAAAGTCTATATACAGTCAAAAGGGGAGATGTTTCCAGGTCATTTTCAGCCATTACTGGATACTGGCAAAACAAAGGCTTTTCACAGTAGACCTCTTGAGGCTTCGTAATTCAATTCAATTTTATTGTTATAGTGCCAAATCATATCAAGTTATCTTGACATTTCACATAGAGCAGATCTAGACCGTATCCCTTATAAAATTATTTACAAAGACCCAACAATTCCCACCATGAGCATGCACTTTTAATTGAGTACACCCCTGCTGTAGGTGCATTAGTAGAGTAGATATTGTAATACATTTGGCTCAATATTCTTTTCTGTTGTTTTGTGTTTCTCCAGAAGGGCTTCACTCCTTTGCATGTGGCTGCGAAGTACGGCAAGATCGAGGTCGCCAACCTGCTGCTGCAAAAAAATGCTCCGCCTGATGCAGCTGGGAAGGTATGTTAGGACTGGTGTGTGAGAGAACGATGGTTTAAAAGAGACAAAATGAGAGAGTGAGGGAGCTCTCACATAAAGAACAGGGTGGAACAGTAAATTATTTATTCCTATATGCAACCCACACATGTGCACACTAGCACATTAGCTCTATACATGTTTGTTTACTCAAAGCTTTCACTGTATTCTCTTTGTCACCTCACTGCACTGTACACTGTCTGTATATCACCGTCTAACAATGGTTGTGTGTGTGTTCAGAGTGGACTAACTCCACTGCATGTGGCAGCACACTATGATAACCAGAAGGTGGCGCTGCTCTTGCTCAACCAGGGAGCTTCACCGCATGCTGCTGCAAAGGTAAGAGTCAGTCAAAGGATGTTCCTTAATGCATTAATGCACCGAAACCTCTCTCCCTCTCTCTTTGGCTCTGGGTGAAAGCAGGCTGACCTAGTTTCAGTCACCCACATAGTGAAAACGCCTGAGCGAAGCATTGTGATTGGCTGGTTGGATTCCCCTTCCACTCTAACAGCATCTATCCAGAAAGAGCTGCCACTGAAATTAGCTAGGCCCCAATAACTCCTATTCCCTGATAGAATATTGAATAAGTCAGTGTTTTCATGCGACGACCTTCGATGAGACAAGAATGTTTGCAAATTTAGCAAATATCTGGAGATAAACTCTAAAAAACTGTATGTAAAGTGCTTAAAATGTAGTTCTACAGCCCTTAGTAATGCAAATTTTGAGAGGATAAAGCAGTCTCCATCAGTCAAAAGAATAACAGCAGTGACATGTCGATATAAAGAAAACTGAGCTGTAAGACAAGGTATTTTTCTGACATATGACAATATTGCAACTTTATCAAAAATTACATATAAGATGATCAAACTGATGTTAAATAAAAATAAATAAAAAAGATGAGAACATCAACCTCACTCATTCAGCAGCCAGTTAGCTTAGCTTAGCATAAACAGGTCAGCGGCAAGTTTGCTGTTCTACAGGGATGATTTCTTGGTTCAGCAGCTTAACTTCATGAACCTCCTGAAAAAAGTTACTGCTCCCAGCCAAAAAATAATCTGGCATGAAACCACGTTTAAAACGGCAAGTTGTTGTTTTTACAGTCCGGTTTTTGTACGCATTACACAAACAATATAACGTGTTATTTAGTTAGCTTTAGAGGCGTTGGAAGGCAGATTTTGTTACCTTCAGATAGAGCCAGGCTAGCTGTTTCCCCCTGTTTCCAGTCTTTGTGCTAAGCTAAGCTATATTTAACATACAGATATGAGAGTGGTATTCCCAAGCAACACACTTCTGTAAAGATAACACAATATGATGAAATCTTCACAGTGTAAGACCTACAATTCTTTATGACTCACCTGAAAATGCACATGATTTATGAATGAAGCAAGTGTTATTTTGTTTAAATTGAATCTAATTTCAGAAAATTCTGTATCTTGACCTTGCTGCATGTGAGTGGACGATGGTGTAAGAAAATAACAAAGAAACACCCCTCTCTTGTTTTTCTGTAACCAGAACGGTTACACACCACTCCACATTGCAGCCAAGAAGAATCAGATGGAGATAACCACCACGTTACTGGAGTACGGTGCCTCCACCAACACAGAAACACGCCAGGGGATCACTCCTCTGCACCTCGCGGCACAGGAAGGCAACGTGGACATAGTGACACTGCTGCTGGCTCGAGACGCTCCAATAAACAAGGGCAATAAGGTCTGTGTGTAAAAACTGGTGTGTGGGTTTTACAGCCAGATTTACAGTGCGTTTGTGTGTCTATTTTCAACTTGTGTTTGATTGCCAGGGCCTTACCCAAAGCTCAGTTATTTAGGCTTTTAGTATGAAGCATCTGCATTAAGTGTTAAGTTTCCTTTATTGTAACTTAATAGCTATCAAAAAACGAATCTGCTTCGAGTTATTTCTGTTGGCATTGGGTTTATGATGTTTCTAGCATGGGTGTGTCAATGTCTGTTCTCTTGTAATTTCCTACCATATTGCACAGACCTGTCAAGCTTTATTTATCTACCTCTGGATTATATTGTACCTTGTAATCAACACCTTTCTATCCCTCTGTCTCTCTCTGTTTGCACATCTGTCTTGTTTCTGTTTCTATATTTGATTCTCTTTGTGTATTTAACTCTGTATATTTGACCGTCTCTAACTCTCTGTTCTCAGTCCGGTCTGACTCCGCTCCACCTGGCTGCCCAGGAGGATAAAGTCAACGTTGCCGAGGTCTTAGTCAACCAGGGAGCTACTATAGACCCTGAGACCAAGGTAATGCTACTAGTCTCTACTTGCTCAGAGCTCACCAGGACTTGCTTGACATCCTGTCGCATATTTAAACAGACAAAGAAGACGCAATACTATTACCAATGACCAGATGATCTAATCACATTATGCAAATTATTTTCTGCATCATCAGCTGGGATACACTCCTCTTCATGTGGCCTGTCACTATGGCAACGTGAAGATGGTCAATTTCCTGCTGAAAAATCAGGCCAAGGTCAACGCCAAGACCAAGGTAAGCATTTAGTGTTTGTGTGTTTCCTTTAGTTCTGTGTGCAGAGGAGATTTGGGCAGTTTAATGTTTGCAGGCAGCATACATTCACTGTATGTCAGTGGGTGGAGAATTAATGTATTTTGTTTGCTGTGTGAGGGTTTTCTAACTCTAACCTTTGTCTCTTTTTCCCTCCTCTGCAGAACGGTTACACGCCTCTCCATCAGGCTGCACAGCAGGGACACACGCACATCATCAACTTGCTGCTACATCACGGAGCATCGCCCAACGAACTCACAGCCGTTAGTACACACAGACTCTACAGTATACACATTATACACACAGACCTTCACAAGTACCAAAAGTACCAAATATACTAGTTTCCATACAGTGACTAAGACGTGAAACAGCTGTGATGATTACATTTTTAGTCCACACAATAAATGCACCCCTGATGCTGTTCCAAACCTCTTTCTCTCTCTCTCTCTCTCTTTTGTGTTTTATTCATTTATTTTGTCCAGAATGGGAACAGTGCTCTGTCCATTGCCAGGAGGCTCGGCTACATCTCTGTAGTTGACACACTCAAAGTGGTCACAGAGGAAACTTTGACCACTCAGGTACATATGTGTTTCTGAGAGTGTTAACTGAATAGTGTAATAATGTTCTCCGAATCCTTCCCCCTTTTGTCATATAAAACAATGTCTGCATCATTTGACATTTTAAACTCCAGCCTTAATTCCTTTTAAAACGCAGGTGACTAAAAAATGTCCGCAGTTACCATAAATTCTCAAATGGCAGCCAAGGCCATTATTCTGCCTTTATGCCTTTATTCCTACAGTTCACAGTTACTTTAAGTATATTTTATAAGCAGGCCCAACACTGAACCTGTGCCTGCAGAATTAAGACGACACTTCAGCAGATTTTCCTGCAGATTTTAAACAAATAGAGACACTGTTTTTAAAACTCAGAAGTTTATTCTATCAGAATGATTGTTGTGTGATGCTTCAGTTACCATTAAGGTCAAAGTTAATGGTGCAGTGACACTTTGTTTAGAACTGTTAGTGATTAAATATAATCTCAAATTCAAAAGTTCTATAAACTCTACTAAATATTTCTTTCAGCCTGCTTGAGGTAATTTTAAATAATTTTAGGTTGTATTGTGTGTGTTTATTTTTGCTCAAAATTTTGTGATCGTAAATGAATATTGTCTATCACATTACACGAAAAAAAATATTATATCACCACTAAAAATTAAATAGAAAAAGAAAAATCACCAGATTGGGGTTGATTATAAGTATATTTTATCATATTTTATTAATCTTGATAAATTCAGCATGCTGTACATACCCACCACTCTGCTGCTAAGCTTCTCTTTTTAGTAGAAAAACTGTTCTCAGTCACTAATTAACTGGAGTTGGGTCTATTTTGACGTTTTTCATTCTAAATTAAGCTGGCGTTAATAATACATATGACTTCCTTCAACAATGTGTCAAATTAAAAGCCTTCCAGTGGCTCATAGAGCACAACTCTCCTGTTTCCTGGTGGGTTTTTAATGTGAAACATCAGCAGGGAGCATTGAATTTTATATCATGGTACCTTAACGCCAATAAAGTTTAGGCAATTGGAAGTAATGAAGGAAAGCAGTATAAAGGAGAGAAACTTGAATTAGTATTGTGGAAATTTACCATGTGAACCATTAAAGCACAGGTTATTCCACTTCCACAGCCTTTATTTGTTCATGTGAGACTTCTTTTAATGGGTACATTTCACATGTAAGTCACCATTGACACCTTATTAAGAGCATGTCTCTGTTCGACAGACTGTGATAGAGAAGCACAAGATGAACGTTCCAGAGACCATGAACGAGGTGCTGGACATGTCCGATGACGAAGGTAAAGATTCAATTTATTGATGTGTAAATCTGTTTTACTTTAAATCTATCCAAACCGGCTCTCCCCGTGCAACCTGAGCCCAGTCACAAAATCCTGGAAAGACAGCCAAAGTCTATAAAATCAGTCACATTTGGCTTTTGGGCAATGAGATCCCATGTGCTGGTCCCGTGGTTTGCCAAATTTCCCCATTGTTGTCAAGGAAACAGTTATTTTGTTGTTGTTGTGAAATTCAGGTTAAAAAGCCAACGTAATTTCTTTCCATCATGAACTTATTTCATTTGATTTCATCATTTGACATTTTAGTTACAATCATGACGATTTAAGCCTTTATTTTCAAATTTACAGCCATTGAAAATGTACAGTAATCACTTTGTTTTCACTTCTTATGATTTTTCCATATTTTTTGGTTCCCTTCTTCTCTCTAACCCTCCCCTCCATCCCAATCACACAGTCTGTAAAGCCAATGTCCCCGAAATGATCACAGAGGACTATATATCTGATGTGGAAGAAGGTATTTTTCATCTTTTCTTCATTTTTTTGTTCTTTAAATCCTCATTTCATACCTCTTTCTGTATGTCAATCCTCTGTTCTTAACATTTCCAATCTCTGCTTTTTCATTTTCACTTAAATCTTTCAAGTGCTGTCAAGATTTGTATGTACTTTATTTAATTACTATAATAAGTGGTAAAAGTACCATGATGCAATTGCGTTCTAGTAAAGATTGCATGTGCACAAAGATAGATAGATAGGTAGATACTTTATTTATCCCAAGGGAAATTCAAGAACGCTGGTATCATGTGTGGTACCCCGTACTGTACGAGGACGCTTTCAGCTGCTGCTTCCTGTCCGACTCTCTCATGATGTGTTGTTGTAAAACCTCCTGTATTTTCATGCATTGAAATGCAGGGAATATGTCTTTCTTCTGGTTGCCATGCCAACTGTCTGCATATGGCGTTGTGGAGTGTGTGTAACAGATTTCTTTTCATGGCGTGGAGTAGACGGCGCACAACACAAGCCTTTGTCTTCGGTGGCTTGTCAGTGACGCTTCCATTGTAGTTTCACACATTTGGGCCAAAGCAAACACGGTGTCAGCTGCTGGAGTGTGTGTGTGTGTGTGTATGTGTGTGTGTGTCTGTGTGTGCGCGTTTACTTTGTGTATCTCTTTTTCTCATGGTCTCGAGTGTGGCTCAAAAGTGGCTGAACTTGAACTCCATACTGACTGGGGGAGGAAAGGATTGATATATTGAGATTTTCCAGTCAATAGTTTGTTTCATTTTCACTCTGCCCTCCGGTGTTTTTGCTACACAGTCTGCATTGATGGTAAAGAATAGCGGGCTTTCATTTTTAGGTAGTCACATGTTTCTAGCTGTCTGCAGTTTTTATTCCTGCGAAAAGTCAGCAGCCTGCAGAAATCCACATGTCCTCGAAACTGTTGATTTTCCCACAATTGTTAAGCATGCATATGGAGCGATATCATGAGATTACCAGGTGTGCCGTAGTTTCGACTGGTCGGAGGCAACTTCTGCTGCTGTCGTTTATATTTAACACACTATATATGCAATATAATGTAACACACTGTAAATCTCTTTGTAGAACGGCCTGTGTGCAGGATGTCATAAAGTTAGCATCTGTGCCATGAATTATGGCTCTTTGCTTGAATATTTAGTGATTTTCTTTCTGCTGTAGTGAATCATACTTGCAATAGATGGGAAAAAGGAAAAAAAAGTAGATGGAAAATGTGTCTTTTGCATAATGAGATAAGCATTTTATATTTATATTATTATAAGATATTCCAGGGGTTCAAAAAAAGAAAATGTTTGAAGGTGTATTTCTGCTTTGTTTAAACAGAAATGGATGTTGGAAATATCTGCATCAGCTATTCCTGTAAGTCTAATGGCGATCTCGCTGTAACTAACTTCAATAACCAGTCTGAAGTGGCGCAGCTGAACTGATGCAACTAAACTCTGCGTGTGTTTCTTATATTCCATGTATACTGATGCGCATGTTCGCTCTCACACTGAATTTGTTGTTGTTTTTGTTGTAGCGCTTTAGTGGAGTGTCCATCTTTCGCTCTGGATCTAAAAATATATGAAGTGTAACTCTAGGCACACGAATACACACTCACAAGCCCACATACCAGCAGCAGTAACAGCAATGATTAACATCTCCAATAACACACACACAGTCCATGATCTAAATCAGGACCCACAAACCCTGTGCAGTCTTTTGTAAACGGTTGGCTATCCAAAGAGTTTTCCCAGAGTTGTAAAGTAAATTCATATTTAGTCAGCGTGGATATAAAACCTGAATCATGAGATAACTTAACTATTTACAAGGCAATAACATAGTTACGACATGTTGGCTGATAGCTGTTTAGATGTTTTGTACTTATTAATCATCTGTTTCTAGTGTTGATTTTAGGCGAAGATCCAAAATCTGTTGTGTGTTTTCCTTCTTGGCCCTTCATGTCTGTCTTTGGTTTTGACATTTCATATTCTAAATATAACACCTGCTATTTAAAAAAAGGCATTTAAAAGTAAACGCAGCACCATCAATAATAAGGCAATGGCTCATTTGTTAAACTGTCACCACAATAATCTTATATTGATGGTTTACGTTTGGGCTCGAGTCAGACTTAAGACTTAAAATGAGGGCTTGAGACTTGACTCAGTTGAGACTTGTTTCCCTTAAGACTTGAGCTGAGACTCTAAGCTTGCAGAGCCACTAACCTTGGATCTGGTGTTCTCAGCTATGTAAAGAAAAAAAGTTTAATGGTCAGCACTCTGACCCGAAAGATTTGCACCTTGACTTGTAATTTCCTTACAAGAACTTGAGACTGGACTTGCTATAAAGGATTTGAGAGTTTGCTTGATACATTAAAGTCTGTTTCCAGATGTTGGGATGTACTAGTACATATTTATTTATTTATTAATGATTTATTGGATAGGTACAGATTGATAAAGTACAGTGCTATGATAGGAGTAGTCCTTGGAAATTTCCCTGTGCCAGATGGGTCTGATAAAGTTTTGGTCGCAATCTAAGTGGATTTTAAGGTTTATTTGTTACATGTTTACTATGTGTAATATAATGTGCTCCTAGACTAGTATGAAAAGTAAGAATTAGAAAAAACAAATGTGAAAGAGAAAAATTCAAGAAAAACATAATTACATAATTGTAAAAGAAAAAGAAAAAGAAACAAAAAGTAATATGTACAAATGTCGCAAGTGCAAACATGCAATGTGCAGGACAGTAAAAAACTAGTGGCCAGTGTATTCAGCCTCATTTTAATGGTGTGTTCCAGTTGGCTGGTTTGAGGTTGTCAGTCGAAGCAGCACTCACACTGCCAGAAATTTGTTACAGTTAGCCGTCATTGTCTCACATTGTAATTTAGGACCACAGTTTTTGAACTGATGAACAAAAATTTTACCTCATTTTTCTCACATTTGATAGGTTTCCTGCACAGTGCATGATGGTCTTTACTCTGACAGACTGGAGATCTCCCCAAAAGTCTTATAACCAGTTCTGTTAGATGCTCTGAATTTTATTATTTGTCTCATGAAGAACAGTTACATTTATTAAGACAGACTGACCGCATCAGGCTGTGACAGCTGCAAGCAGCCGCATCAATCCCGGCAGGAGTTGTTCAGGAAATCCTTTTTGGATGCAGAGTAATAAACTTCTGCAATCACTGTCACACTGTCAAGTTGTTACACAGACTGGAAGGAAGATTTCACAGATAGATAAACAAGCAGACAGACAGGTAGAGCAAGGAAATAAAAAAAAGGAATTAAAGAGACAGACAGGACAATAATATATATAAAAACAGTGTACAAATCAGAAAGTATAAAGATCATAAAAAGAGTTAAGGAGTGAAGTGAGGATATATACTGTACTCTACGTACTCCTATTGACGGTGCATAGGTAGAGTTTAGATGTTAGACAACTTAGCCTGAGTCACACACCCACTTACTATTTCTGTCCTGCAGTGAGCTCTAGGTGTCTGTTCTGTAACTCACACACACACACTGGATAATCCCAGAGCAGGGTGGGTAGGCGGGAGAAAGCTGATCTGTTTGTGTGAGCGCCGGGCTGTGAAAGAGAGATAGACAGTGTGTGCAGGAGAGAGCGACAGAGAGTTGAAGGAGTCGAAGAAAGTTAGTTCAGGGTGAAATCCTGCAGACCGGACTGAATGAAGTGCTTTAAAGCGGGAGGTGAGTGTCTGCCCGGCTCAGGAGGGCTTTGCTGCCGTTCAGGGTGAAACGAGAAGGGGGTCCCGGAGAATGAACTGGAATGTCGCCAGATGGGGTCTGTAAAGTGTGTGGGTGTCAGGGAGAAGTTTAGGGGGGAAAGGGGTGCTTGTAGCACAAGGGGATGAGGGGGACCCAGGAAAGGGGTGGGCGGGGGGTCCTCTCCGAGTGGCTTGGTGGTTGCTGGAATGCCTTCCTTTTCTTTTTCTCTTCGTATTCTGCATGTGGTTGTGTGACTGCCTCTCCCTCTCCAACTCCTCCTCTCCTCCCTTCTCTCTTTCAACTCTGTGGTCACCGGTTCATCAGTAGGCTAGGATCTACAGTACCTCTGAGGGGAATAACATGCTGCTAACTGTTTTCCTAGGCCTGTAACGTATGTTTCAACTCTTTAACCACTCTTTTTTTGTGTAGCTTGAATGGTGTGTTTGCTGTGATGACACTGAGTTCTGCTGTGTGGAGTGTTTTTATTCACCTTAACTGGAAACAATGTGGCGTACATGAATCTGTCATCAGTCAAACTTTTCACTTCCGTAGATGTAAAAAGCTGTTATTGCTATTACTGTTAGCTCGCTCAACTAACCTGATCTGAAAAGTTACTGACAGCAGCACTTTTTATTGTTTGCAAGTTTGACTGGTAACATTTTTTTGTCCCTTTGAGACAAAAAGCCTTTAGTGACAGCAAGACTTTTGTTTGTGTGTGTTTAAGCTGAACTGGAAAACAGCCTCAGGGTAGAGGCTGCATTGATCTGTCTGTCTAAAAGAGCCGCTCTGTTATGGTCTGCATAGACAACAGAAACAAGAAACACAGAGAGAAGATTCAAATTTGCATTCATAGAATTTACCGCCCATTAAAGCTAGTCTGCCACAGATCAGTGCTGAGGATAATGAAGCAGGATATGAGTACTGGACAGTAGTTACTGAGTGAGCGAAGAGCTTTACTCATTCATTCTCTGTAGGCTACGTTCACACTGCAGGAAAAATTGGCTCAAATTAGATTTTTTTGTATCACATGGAATCAGATCTCTTCCCATTCTGATGTCCAATAATTTCATAAATCAGATACAGGTCTGATTTTTTTTTTGCCTTGTGACCTCAGTGTGAACTCTAGATCAAAATTCATCATAATTCTGCTCTGGCGGGACTCACTCTGTGAATGTAGACATGGAAGGCGGCTGTGATGGAGGTTGGCAGTGAAGGGATAGTGAGGTGTTAGACCTTGTAAGTATTTATAGACACTTATCCACAAGCAAAGCTTAAGGATCAAAACTAGTTCTAGCAGCCATTGCTCCACTAAAACCCATAATTAAAAATTGTCGCCTCCTCACATATTTGCTGGCTTCCACTGCACATCAAGCTTATAAATTTAAAGTTTTGGTCACACATCGGCCACAGACGAGAGAAACCAACTCTCATTAACAGATGAAAAGATGCTTTCTTTCTGTAACCTTTCTTTTGCCCTGTGTGTTTTCAACCGGCAGGTGACGATGCAATGACGGGGGACACAGATAAGTATCTGGCCCCCCAGGACCTGCGGGAGCTGGGGGACGACTCGCTCCCTCAGGAGGGCTACATGGGCTTCAGCGTTGGTGCACGGTCACAGAGGTAAGACACACCTCAGTTGATAATCAATATTATGACTCTTTCTAAGTTTGTTAAAGCAAATTTAGCATTTTAATATTATATTGTAATGACATACAGTACAGCTCTCACAAAATGAGAAGATTGTCAGTGACCTCTGGAGAGTTCATGGGGGAGGTGTAAATGTCAGTCACACTGGCATTTAAAATGGCAAAATATAGAGACAGGGGTCCAGCTTTGGTGAACCTCTGTCGATTCACTCTGTCAACCAATAGCAAACCATTTGATTCTGACCTTTGAGGGAGTCCAAAATGGAGAATGCTATGGTAGCTCTTAGCTGTGTTATACCATAAACATCTCTTTTGAGTAAATGGTGTGAACCTATTGTTCTGTTAGCGAGAAGGCTAATAAGCTTGTCAACTGACAGTTAGCCAAGCTTCCACAACCACATATATATTTAACAAAGACGTGGAAGTCTGTGCCACTTTCTGGTGTGACTGGATCAGGTGGTTGTAGATAAAAATCATTAATTGCTTTGCAGCACAAAAGGAAATTGATACAGTATAAAACAGGAAATTGGCCACCACTCTCCTTGTTCAAAAAATAGAGAAAACCTTTTGCCAAAGAATTAGAGTGCTCTCTTAGACAGGAAGCAACAGGGTTTATGGAAATTGTGGTCTTTTTTTATTGCTGGCATGTTATATACATTCCCACCATGGTCTTCTTTCTTTATGGTAATTACAGTTTACCAAAGTATCACAATTAATTTGATGGATACACTGAAGTTTGTACATGAAGAGTCTTTTCCCAAGTTCCAAGAAACACAATAATTTCTCAATAGTCATCCAGACATTAATAGGATGACAGGGTTACACCAGACACATGAATTAGTCTGTAAAAGCACAAGAAAGGTCTTGTGAAAGCTCATGATCTATAAACCAACTTAAAGAGTCATCGATTCACAGAGCGTTGGAGTAAATGCATGTTTCTTGAGTAGTTTAATATGAAGTTTATGCGTGACATAGCAGCAAAGCCATACATTATTCTGACCTCCGACCAGAGACACACACACACATTTTCCTCTCACCAGTGAGAGGTCATAGTTCGCTCTCGGTGGTTGTTGGACTCCCACAAAAATATTGACACACCGCTTAAAAGGGAGGGGTTATTGAATATCTGAGGGGTGACACACATGGACACTGAGCCACAGGAAATTAGAAACATGTTCGATTCTGTGGCCTTGAGCGCTGGGTTAGATCAACACACGCTGTTTGAGTGGGGTGGGATGTGCATGTGTGTTAGTGTGTGTGAGGTCAGGCGAAGCTCAGAATTGGTTTAACAAATTGCTGGTCCGCTGTAGGTGTGAGCTCAAATAACTTCCACATCAGTCAATTCAGGAAGGGAATTATCTACAAAATATCTATCAGGGAGTTGACAGAAGGTTGTATTTATGTCATGTAACTGTGTTGTTTGTTTTTCTCAGTGCTCATTCTGTGTTTGAGGTTTTCAACATTGCTAATAGTTTATCTTTTTGAACATCACAAAAAGCAGAACATACATACCATGAAGTTGTGACGTGGGAGGAGCTGTTTGGTCCAGAGGTTTTCCTGCTGTAGATTAAACATTTTAAGTTTTATTATTAGGTATTATTATCAAGATTTCTTCCATGTTCCTCGGCATAGAAACACATAAAAATCTCATATAAAAATTTAGTGCTACTACAGTTTTATGTTATGGCCATCAGTTGTAATTATTTCTTCTTAACTCCTGGGAAATTTTGTAATAATCTAAATGCTGCAATACCCATTAGCCCCAGCAAAAAAGCTGATGAATATATAGTAGTAGGGCAGCTAAAGAGCCAGATATTTAAGTCTATCTTTAGTGGAGTAAAACATAGCTAAAGGGAGAGTGAATATTAGACTTACATCCATCAGTTTGTTAGAAACAAGACTCCAAAGTAATGCTAAGGTTGCTCCGCTGCTGGATGTGTAAACTGGCAACTGTTTGCTAACACGTTTGCTGTAACAGCTTTATAAGGTGATTATATGTCAGTGTGGCGTTTACAGCTTTTTCTGCTGTGCCCAAATAAATCAGTTAATGCAGCTTTAAATTTCTGCATATACACAGGCGTTAATATTGTCTAATGCAGTTTTGTTTGTTCTGATGATTTAACCAAAAGTTTGATGCCCCTTTCAAGCCTTGGAAGTGCCCAAAATATTAGTCACAGACTCAGAGAGACACATCTGGAACTGAAAATAACTCCTCCCTCTTCACAACTCTATAATAAATCTTTGAAATTTAAATAATTAAGTGTACATGTGGGGACACTGAGTTTGTTATTAAATTAGTTATAAATTGGAAATGTGTTACAAGCTTCAGTTAGCCAGTGAGCAGTCAGGGGGCCGGGCAGGTCCGACGGGGTGTGGTGAGACAGTCAGGCAGCATCAGGCATCATTCTACCAACCTGCATCTCTGCTCTGGCTTTTCTCCTCTCTGCATCTCTCTATCCACTCCTCTGTTCATGATCTTTTGTTCTCTCCTCATGTCCGTTCTTAATGTTAGTCCCAAAGTCAGGTAAGACTAAAGGCATGAAGGGGCCTTCCCAAACCTCCCCCTATACCTCCCCACCCATTCCACCCCCGTCCCTCCCCTGACAACCCCAGCCTCCAGTCACTATCAATTTCATGACTTTGTGGTCCAATGTAATACATATTTACTGTGTATGTTTGACTACTAACTTAATGATTTTTTACGAGTTTTTAATGAGTTTTGTATGTTTTGTAACACGTTTGTATGTTAACATCAGACACTGTGTTGTGTACTGTGGTTCACTTGTGTGATCTTTATGTCTGATTTCTTTCAGTTGAAAACAGTTCTGCTGTGTTCCTTGCTTGTAGAGAATAGCCTGCTTTTGTTTTTGGTTGTGGTTACTGTATCATTAATGCCTGGGTCTTTGTGGGCTTGCCACAAAGGTGGAGCTTTGCATCGTTTTGGTTTCTGTGTGGAATATTCCTTCATCGAGCTTCCAGGGACCTGAACTGATATATCTTTAGGCAATTAGCTATTGCCTTCATCAGTTTAGTGTCATACAGTTACCACAAATAACGGACAGTGCAGAGTATTCTCACTGTATGTTGTCAAGCACTGTTACCTTTGAGGAAGATATGTACATTTCAATCAAAAATGTACATTTACGCACATTAAAACATATTTAATAGAGAAAATACTATGTATTTATCTTGAAAAGAAACAATAATTTCATCTTTTTTTGTTTTTGGCATACACTGGCATACATTTATTGTTTTGTATATTAGGGGTATAAAACACAAACCTGAATTTGTAATCTAAAAGATGATTTTCAACCCTGTTATCTTAGGATAAGTTATAGAAGATTTAAAATGCCTAAATTAAAACAAATCAAACAAAAAAATAATGTGTAATACAATACACATTATTATATGTGATTTTCAATGTATGCATTTACTGTGCTATAATTATATGAAAAACTTACATGAAAAGGACAGTTCTTCAGCCCTTTGTCTTCAATAACAAAAGCATATGTGTTTCATTGTGACATGAGATTTCCATGCCACAATAAAATCAAATCACATTACAGGAAGAGTGAAGAACTGTGTTGCATTTCAGTGATGTCCACAAGTGGTGAGGTGCATGGCACAAGCTGATTGTAGCTGGTGTTTAATTTAGGCATTTTAGATCTTCCATAATAATTACATCTGCATTTCTCATACATTATTTCAAAGCTAACGACATAAGCAGGATCACTGAGATACAGTTGTCTGTGAACTTTTCAGTTTTGTCCTTAAATTAGGAAGATTAATGTAATTGACATGATTAAAAAAAGTCTTTATTTTAAAGTAACAAGGTAACAGGGTTATTATCTCATTATCTCAAAAACAGAACCCTTTGTTTTCTTGAGATAATAACCTTGTTATTACTGTGCTATTCATATTTTTGAGTAAAAATTATATATATATATATAT